AAAAAAATTCTTCATACGCTCATATCTTGCGCAATTTTAAACGATTTACTTTCTGTTCAATTTTAAAATTATCTTGTAATTAATTAAAAATTTCTTCAAAACTTTTATTCCATTTCATTCAATATTTTTAAGCTATAGCAAAAAACAGCTACAAAATAATCCTCAAATTAGGACAGTGTATGTTCTACATTTACATAGCTGTAAGAGGACCAATTGTACTCGATCTTGAAAGAGTGAAAAATTCTTTGGATTGGATTGAGGTATTACCTATGATATAAGAAAACTTAAGTTTATATTCAATTCAATGCTACTAACCTCGATTTCCGATAGACAATTCTTCGTGTAGGGGAATTTATTTATATTATGCTGGATATAACCTATATACTATTCAATAAATATATACTATATACACTAAACAGCCTAAAGGAGAGAAAAAAATTGTAAAATTCGATAAATTTTTATTTTTTGGCACTTTGAAAATTCGATATTTGTCTTAAATTTCATTTATACACATAGACATTTTAATTTAAGAATTAAAAGACTACCTTTTTTGAATAATTTGAATCCTACTTTTGTTTAATTTTAATTAAAGAATTTATAAAATTAAATTAAATGAATTAAAGTATTTCTATCCATAGCAATTTATAATAAAGGATGTTTACAAGAATGTATCGGTAATTTAAAAAAAAGTTATGATACATTTAACAAAAGCAGGAATTAAAACTTTAGTTTTTCGAATGATACTGAATCTAATTTTATCGAAAAATCATTACTTTATTAACAAAATTAGTTTATCTGAGACAACTCAATGCTGAATCAATTGCTGAACCAAAAATCAATTGCTGAGACAACTCAATGAGTTAATTGCTGAACCAAAAATGCTATATAAAATAAGTTTCCTTCAACGCAGAGCAATCATCATCATCATCGAAATATATCTGGGTGCCTGGGGCCGTTAGCGGCCTTTTTCCCATTTGTCTTGCATTGTGGTCTTTAATGTGGTTCTTTCTTGTAATTGAAATGCAATTGAAATAAAAGGAAATTAAATATTTTGTATTTTAGTTAAAATTACGTCACTACAAAAACGAGCTGCCATCGGTCTGAGGTTTATGTCTTCTCTTAAGTTTTCAAAAGTAAAAATTTCGTTGAATCCTGCGGTGTCACAATTTATGGTCTTTTCAAAAAATCTGAAATTTAGCTTCGCAATATGATGATCTAAAAAATCTATGTTGAGGTCGCGATGTATGTTTTTATTGCGGATAAACCATCTTGCTTTTGTTATTTTCCTGAGGATTTTGTTCTGGCATATTTTGAGTTTTTTAAGGAGTGATGTAGAGATGTTGCACCAAGCTGGAGATGCATAAGTCAGGATGGGACGGATCATCGAGATGTAAAGTAAACGTTTAAGTCTTGAGTTCCATTTTGGGGTTCTAAAGAAGGATTTGTAATCTGTGACAGGCTGCTTGTGCTTTGTTAATAACTGTTTTGACGTGATCTTTCCAATTAAATTTGCTGTTTATGACCAGACCAAGATATTTTGCGCTTTTGACTATGGATATAGTTTCGTTGAAGAGAACAACTTGATTTTTTGGGAGGATAGTTTTTCTTTTATGTTGGATGATTAGTAGTTTCGATTTTTAGCCGTTGACTTTAAACTTCCAGTCTAGACACCAGGTTTCTATTTCCGTAAGCTTTTCTTGGAGTTTCTGTAAGGCAATGTTGGGACTTTTGGACTTCACGACAATTCCTGTATCATCTGCGAAAAGTGCTGTGATGCTTTTAAAGTCTTGTCTGTCGATGAGAAAAACGTAGGTAAATAATATGAATAGTATGGGCCCAAGTATGCTTCCTTGTGGCACTCCTGCTGTTATTCTTCTGTTTGTTGTTTTAGGCAGAAACTTACTTTGTATTTTAATTTATATACTTAATTTTTTTAAAAATAGTGATGGTTAAAATTATTTTTTTTTTACAATTGCAGGCACTGAATTTGAATCTTTGCCTATACTATGCCAGAATTGTTGCTCATTTTGCGTTACCCAGTGGGCACCTGTGAACCAAAGTCACGGAGGCGAGCAACATTGCCAATGCCACAGTGCCACAAACCCGTTTATAGGGTGGGCCACATTCACACATCATACACACACACAACAGAGGACAGCACAAAGAGAAAGAGAAACATCCATGCCCAGAGCGGGATTCGAACCCGCAGCCTATGGCTTCGCAGTCAGGCACGCTAACCGCTCGGCCACCTGGCCGGCTGGTTAAAAATATTATAAATTAGGTTTATAAATGCTAGAAATATATAGAACGCATATATTTTACTACCACTTTAAATATAGAAACAAAATTTTACGCCAAATGCGTAAAAGTTGGCAGGTATGTAAGAATGCCATGGGGATCACCGGTGACCGGCACTGAGTTTTTTCGTAGCTCCACGGGTGTCACCGGTGACCACCGGCGAAGCAAAGATTATTAGAAACACATAATTATTAATTCGTGTAAATTTTTAATGCTTTTAATTTTTTTTATAGTTACTAAAATTGTTTGAAGAAATTTATGCAATTTAGAACACACAAAAATAGTTTTATTTATACANTGTTCATAGTTTTGTTTATTAGTAGTCTTCAATTACGTTTTTCATCCGACAGTTGGATTCACAATCCTGATTGAATCGAATTTAGTTTCAAAATTTTTTTTGGTGTGAAATATAAAAGCTGAAAGTGAAATAAATTAGCTAAATTATGGTGTTCATTAAAATGAAAGCATTAAAATGAAATTCAACGCTTATAGCAGTTCATTAAATGAACTGCTATAAGCGTTGAAAATGATTACTACGAAAACATATTTCTTTTTTAACTACTTCTGTTATTTTGATTTGAAAAGAGCGATGGTAAATTCTAATACACATAATTCATACCTGCCAACTCTTCCGGATTTTCCAGAAGATTTTATTTTCATATTTAAAGTGGTAGCAATTCTCAGGTTATTCCAATTAACTTTTTGATAATTGTAAATGAGTTTGACCACCACTACATATAAATAATTACAATAAATATATGAAAGCATAATAATCCTTGCGCATGTGAATTTCAACAGGATCAAAATATAAATATATTTTTGAGTCAGATTGTTTTTCGTTTATTGTTTGACAACCACTCTGAAAATCCATTCTCGGAAAGAGAGAAAGTTGGCAAGTATGATAATTTGTGTAAATTTTTAATGCTTTTATTTTTTTTTATAGTTACTAAAATTGTTTGAAGAAATTTATGCAATATAGAACGCACAAAAATTGTTTTATTTATATACCTAGAAATGCCAATTTACTTCATACAGCGAATAAATNCGACTATACATTCCTATACAATAAATCATTGTTACAATGTCCTGTACCTACCATTAAAGTTTGTACCATGAATTCGGGACCACCCTGTATACATAGAAGTGCCAATTTACTTCATACAGCGAATAAATATTTTCAAGTGGTAGTTTATCAATTGAGGTTCTTGGTTTAATAAATTCAATTTAGTAGATTTTTATCCACCACTATTTCTGAACAGTTCGTAGGCTTATAAAATTCACCACTTTTTTTTTTAGATATGATTCTAAACCTTTTAAAAAATTAGCAAAATCTGTCTAATATTTGCAAATTTAGTTTGTAGTTTTTTACTGTTTGGCCAGACGGGCAAGCCATGTAAAATTAGCTTGGCATTCAACGTGTTAAAATTCTTCTTTGTATAGAACAAATTTAATTTAGTTTAACATTTAACCGAAATTGCGTTTTTGAGTCCCAAAAAATTATCTTAGCTCTCCAATTAAAAAATACATATTATATGAATTAAAAGAACTTTATCCTTCACTACACATAAATAGTTTAAAGAGATGTATAAACAGCCATGTTCTGAGCGGGATAGAGCTCTCGCCTCTCAGTGAGGTGACCCGTGTTCGAATCCCTGCAATGGCTGATCGATATAAAGTCCACACCCGGCTCTCACCGACCACAGAGCTCACGTAAAATATCGTCAGTGGTAGATGGATTAGAATCCCCTTTCCGTCTGGCTAACCATGGGAGATTTTCGTGATTTACCTCGCAAAGATTCAATTCGCAGGATTCACAACGACAAATGCGAGTTAGTTCCATCAAAAAAGTCTTCCATTTAGACAAATTACTCTCAATACTTGATCAAGGAGTTCCCTTGTTTTCTGGTTCAGGTTCAAAATTACAAAGCTACGGATTTGAACATTAGTAGTTGTAAACTCAAAATTCGGTAGGCTGTTTTCAAATTCAAATAAAAGAGTCATAAAACATCTATTGATTCTTAAAAATCTCTTCTTTAGCTCACTACCAGTTAAAATATTTTGCTCAAAAAAATTTTTTTTAAAAAGTCACACATAAGAATTTTGTTTTGAATGCAAAATAAACTATTTATTAATAACAAATATTGACTTTAAATGTTATGAAAACAAGATTTTTTTTTATTCTTATGTATATCTTGTATAGAATAACTTGTTTAAATTTAAATAAATTCATATAAAAATTTAATTCATTAGAATTTATAACTTGGACAAACATTACTTTCTTCGCGTACAAAACTGACTTATGCATTTCGGAGGCATTCATTAAAATTTCAAAACTCATAGCTTTGAATGGATTAATAAATACCATTTTGTTTTTATTTTTATGCACACTAACTAAAGATTCATTCATGCACTAATGAATATTCTAGTTTTCTCTTCCTATGAAAAGATATGTCATTATGGCTTTTGTTCAAATTGAATATTTCTTTAACTTTTAAAATTATACTCCATTCCATTAAAAGGTTGAATCAAATTCCAGACAGTCTCATTTAAAATGAAAAGATATTTTAAATTCAGATTCCCTTTGTTTACATTTCTATTTTCTAACATCGTAATAAAGCAATATTGATTCTTCTTTTTCATTTCTTGATTTTCAGTAAACATGTTATTTCAAATCTATTTATAACATATACTTTTCTGATAACAGACATATTATCGTTTGAATGAGCTTTAAATAGCTTTTAAAAAAGTGTTTATTTATGTCAAAGTGAGGAAATAAACGACATTTTTTTCTCTTCAAACACTCTCTGAATAGTGATTTGAATAAATCAGACGAAAATACCTCTAATTTTCTCGTCATCGATAATTTATTCCATCAAAGTCTGGCAAATTTAATTAACTGATATTTGATCTAATGTAATTATCGTTTGACTTAGTGCTTTACTAAAAAGCACAAAAGATTTAAGGGGAAATACGAGAAGCATTTTTTTTGTTCCATTTTTAACTTATAAAACAAAAGAGGCAAATTAACTTCATTTAGTGACGGGTTGAGTGTGTTGGATGGAAAATAATTATTTTTATCAGCTATATTTAATTCGAAATAGAACACTTTGCCATTGAAACTTTCGAAGCCAAATTGAAAACTTCTATTTATAGACTAAGAATACTCAACTAGATTTTTATCAGAATTGTTACGTAAGCACTGTAAAAATAGAGTGTATATGTAAGATGATTTGTACAACATCGCTATATAATTTCAACAAATCTGTGCCTAGTGCCCTTTTCAAAAGGACATTTCCTTTTTTTTTAAAAAAGAAAAGTAAAACATGATAGACTGTTTCATATTTAGGGTATGTTTGGCAAAAACAAGATAGTTCTTTTTATCCACCATAATATATTTATAATTTAAATATAAGGATTTGCTGTTGACGTATGCCTGTTTAGGCAGAGGGGGCGCGATAGTTCTTGTTTTCTAGTGGCGCCATCTATGGCCAAGAATTTGACTTCTGCCACACCATACGTCGCCCCCGTTTATAGGACGGACTCATCCATACATCCATTCATTCATCCACAGATTGTAATTTTGACCTGAATCAGAGAACGATCGATCTCCAATCCAGTACCCCTAGAGGTTTGATTTGTTATGGGAACATGGAGGACTTTTGCGACTCGACATATTTAACGTGCATCAGTCACTTTACTACACGGGGAGTCTTCGGCCGGAGGGGTTCGAACCCACGAACTCTCGGACATGGGCCCAGCACCCTACCGACCAGGCTATCCCGGTCTTAATATAAGGATTTAAATCTGGAGAATAATGCTAAGCGATGTTAGTTAGAAATTTACACTTTGTATAAACAAATATACACTACCTTTTTTTTTACATTGGTGTGGTATATATATATATATATATGCCACTTTCTTTTTAAAGGGTTTTGTATTTAATTGAAGTTACATAACTTGGCTTGCTTGTTTGCTCAATATAGGCTTATAAACCTTTGTATGTAGAACAACACAACAAGCAACCTCCACGCTTCGCACAGCGTTAGGTGGGCGATACCGAGCAGTCAGGGAAACCCCTCTTTTTACTGGTCATGACTGCCAATTTTTAATGCTTTGTGGACAATTTTTTCTAGTAGTAGCAAAATTTTTGTTCCATTGAGTGATTTTTTTGTTTAGTTAATTTTATTTAAAGTCATTTTTCACACCACTGCATGTATTTGATTCAAACGTTTCTATAAAAAGCCTCGTAATTCAAAATCTTTTCGAATAGCACAAAGGATAAAAGCGAGTAGCACAGATCTTTATCATCCTCAACTTCGGCTGTTCTGTGGCAGGGCTTTTAAAATATTGACAACTTATCAGAGAACTTTAGTTTTCGCAAAAATCTTAGTAGTTAGCTGCCCTGGTGGAAAATGACCTATTCCGATTGAACTTAGCTGATATTGCGATTGAGCAACACTTAAATTATGTAAAAAAATACCCTCCAAAAGAAAAGTTGCGGAAATGGCTTACGAAGTGGCAACTACTTTGATTTCAATGAGTATTGAGAAATATATTGTCAGATTAATATGTAACTATTTTATACATTATTTAGTAATTATATGTAACTTTTGTTAAGTTACATTATATAAGTTTTATGCCTTATATAACTTATTATTAATACACCGAAGAGCCATTACGTTATGACCACCCTGTTAATAACATGTAGGACCACCTTTAGCCCTCAAAACTGCTAGCACCCGCCGTGGCATTTTTTGCACAAGGAGCTAATAGGTAGTCTGAGGTATCTGGTACCAAGCACTCACCAACTGGTCCTGCAATTCCCTCACATTGCGAGGGGGTAGCGTGGCAGCACGAATTTAGTTTTCCAAGTAGGACCACAAATGCTCTATTGGATTAAGGTCAGGTGAATTCGGGGACCAAGACATGACGAAAGTCACTGGAATGTTCCTCGACGATTCGACCCTTATGGCATGGTGCAATATCCTGTTGGTAAACACCATCCCCCGCAGGAAAAACTGTTGCCATGAATGGGTGAACCTAGTCTGCAACTATGTTCAAGTAGCTTACAGACGGCAGGGATTGTTCTGTGAGGATTATGGGTCCTAATATGCCCCATGAAAACATTGTTCCTGGGTGAGAAACCATGAAAACCTGGGCGAACCCATTGTTATAGATGGAGGGTGGTCATAATGTAATGGCTCTTCGGTATATATTATAACAACACAAGTGAGTTTTTTTCTTCGCAGAAACTAATTAAAAAATCATAGCAATTAATTCACCAATCTTTTATCTTTTTGAAAGAAAAGTACACGTGAGCATTAGAGTTTAGGCGATTAATAGATTAAGTTGTTCTGATGTTAATATTTAAGTTAAAAGAGCAGTCAGAAGTCTGGTTATGAGAAATTTAAATGTAGCATATATTATTTTGAAAATATTTATTTACATAAATAATTTTTGCTTTGCTTTTTTAACAGTGATTATGATCTAAGTCACTCCATTACGCTGACTGTGATTGTTGTCATCGTAGCAATATGTTTAATCATCATCAACCGACAGGTAAAACATATTTTTTTACTTTATTTTTTTTTAATGATACACTATTAATTGTTGTAATTTCGATAATTATTTCTTATCAATACTCTGACACTTCATATACTGTTTTCGTAAATTGTTCAAATCAATAATTTTTGTCAAAGATTCGTTTAATCTTATAAATATGGCACAACTCTGACACTTCATATACTGTTTTCATAAATTGTTCAAATCAATAATTTTTGTTAAAGATTCATTTAATTTTATAAATAAGGCACAACTCTGACACTTCATTTACTATTTTCATAAATTGTTCAAATCAATAATTTCTGTTAAGGATTCGTTTAATTTTATAAATAAGGCACAGCTCTGACACTTCATATACTGTTTTCATAAATTGTTCAAATCAATAATTTTTGTTAAAGATTCGTTTAATTTTATAAATAAGGCACAACTCTGACACTTCATATACTGTTTTCATAAATTGCTCAAATCAATAATTTTTGTTAAAGATTCGTTTAATATTATAAATAAGGCACATAATATAAGACTGAACACAGTTTTACTGTGAAACAGAATTATTAGCAATTTTTTTTTTCTAGAAGCAAATAGCGTTTGTGATTTAATATTTTAAATAATTGAAAAGGTAATCTATCACTTCATAGTTGGGTGAAATTTCATATAATGTATAAAACTTATACAATGAATTCTTATAAATTAATGAAATTTGTAATTAATACTTAGCAAAACTAAATAAAAGACCTATTAATTTTCCTTCATTAACGAAAAGAAGCCGATAACTAAACAATCCTAACGGCGGCAAAGTTAACACGCCACCTTGTTTGTAAACAACCAGCTGGCGCTAGGGTTATACGTCAGGTGACTGCGCATCAGCAGTCTTCTTCTTCTGGAGTTGAGAGTATCCCATTGTTCTCAGACAAACATTTATGCCATTTTGATAACGCCGTGATGGCTCGGGGGTAGAGTGTTCACCTACCAACGAGGTGACATGGTTCGAATCCCAGCGATGGCTGGTCGATACGAACTCCGCATCTGGCTTGCATCAACCACATTGCTGACGTAAAATATTCTCAGTGGTAGATGGATCATGGGTTAAAAAAAAATAAAAAAAAAATAAAAAGAAAAAAAGTCCCCTTGCCGTTAGGCTAACCGTGAGAGGTTTCCGTGGTGTTCCTCTCTATGTAACGCAAATGCGGGTTAGTTCCATCAAAAAGTCCAGCACGAAGGCCAATTTTTCCCAGTACTTGATCCAGGTGTATCCTTGTCTTCTGGATTGGGTTCAAAACTACAAGGCTGCGCTCTTGAACATTAGTAGTCGTAACTCCAAAAAATTGGATCGGCTTATCAACAACGGTTATAAAATAAAATAAAATATATTATTTTGATTATAAAAAAAAATCGAGGTTACTAAACGCTTCAAAGGTTTGGTAATGTAATTTAAGTTATTTTGTAATAATTAATTTTTTAACTTAATTTAATAATGTAATTTTAATATGTAATTTTAATATTTAATTTTAATACGTAATTTTGATATGTAATTGATAGTGTAATTTTAACTTAATTTCAATAATTTTAGCTTAATTTTAACTTAGTTAAAGAAAAAAAATCTGAAATGTTTAAATGTGTTTATTAAAAAATTGTTACATTAACATCGATAATCAATCAATATTTTATCATTTCAATGCAATTAAATATTACTTAGCTTGAAGTGACATCCAGAAGGCTTTTCTTATGGCAAAAAGATGTGGAAGAACAGAGAGAAAAAGTAGCCGATATGAGGGTTAAGAATGAAGCATTGGTCTACAATATTTTACCACCTCATGTTGCCAAACATTTCTTAGGTCAACGAAAGAAGGACGAGGTATCATTAATTTCTGTTACTTTTTCTTTTTGCTTAAGTTTCTTAATTGAAAATATTAGTGGAAGAAGCAGGTAAGTGACATTTTTAGGGGTATCTACAAAGGTTGGACAAAAATATGGAACACTTCTATACCAACTCCATGTGTGCAATCTTTTTTTTTTCAGCAGAAAATGTTGTGGGAGATATTGGTGGCAAAATTTGAAATATTATGCTTGAAGCTTTCAGAAATACAAGGCCCGCACTAAGCATTTTCCACATCGCCAAATGCTATAAAATCGTAAATTTGGCGAATAAAATTATGTTTCGGCGAAAGTATTGGCGAATAATTTTTTGCACTGCAAAGAAAAATATATACAGGGTTATTCATAATTCCTTCCGCCTGTAAACGCCATTTTTCTTTACTACACCGTTGATAGATAATCAATATAAAGGTTTGAATTTGGATCTATCTTATTAATTTTTAAAGATTAAGGGGTAATAATAAAGAATGCATAAGAGAGAATTACTTAATGTACACATAAATACAGGGTTATTCATAATTCCCTTCGCCTGTTTTCTTTATTACAACCGTCTTCAGTGGTACATGTTACTGCCATCTACCGGCAACTGCTTAAATTAAAACTTGAATACTTTCGGAATAATTTCATATGTTCTTTTTTGCCATATTCGTCTTTGTTTTTTTACTGTATAACGCTTCGAAACCCCGGAGGGAATTATGAATAACCCTGTATTTAACTCGATCCTCAAAATTTCACCAAAATGAATTTTTCGAACCAAATTCAGTATTTTTTATTCGATTACAGAAAGTTTCGGTAGATGCGCCGCATTACCAATTAAAATTGCGTCCAAATTAATATACAATTATATAATACAAATTATAAACAAACTACTATAAGATAGTTTTCGATGAAAATACTCATTAAAAATTGTTAAGACTTTTGAAAATCGGCGAATACTTTTGATATTTGGCCAATTTACTGGCTAATTATTTGAAATGCTTAGCGCGGGCCCTGGAAATGGCGTCTTTTTTACTCATGCCAAGTTCGGATAGACGAAAATGAGGAAAGGTTTATAACTTCTTTCTAGTTTTAATACCAACAGTTTTGAAACCACTCTATACGATTGCAATGTTTATATTACAATGCATTTTTAATTATAATGGTATTGAAAATAGAAAGAAGTTTTTAACTTCCTACCCTCATTTTGGCGAAAGCAAATTTTGCTTCGATAAAAAAGACCCCATTTCTAAACATTTTTCAGGCATGATCTTCCGGAATGTGTCAACAGTTTTGCCATGTAAAATCTTTCAAAACATTTACTGCTAACTAAAAAGATTGTTGGCATATTTTTACAATATCCTTGTATTAATCAGGTAAAATAACATATTGGAATCAGATCAATATGGGTCTGATTAATGTAATGGAATTGTTTTTAATTTCACTTCAATTTTAAACTACCTAATCCTCATTAGTTGAGTATGCTTGCACGATTTTTTATTTCAAATTAGGTTGTGGTAAATAAAATAAGGCATTGAGTTATTAACCTCGCCTTCTCAATAGTAAGTAATAAAATAATTTGGATACCGCTTTTTTTCGTCTTACCCTAATTATAGCCTCTCTGAAAATGTCACTTACCTGAATCCTCCACTAACCTCTTCATTTTCTTTCCGAATTTATGCAACCTATTGAATGAAAATCGTTCTGTTATTCGAAATAATGCTAGCAATTAAATTTATGCTGCTTTATTGATTGTGGAAAATACTATTTGTAGTGAGGTTACCATAAATACTTTTCAGTAGAAATATTTAGTTCAAACATTGTAACTGCACAGCCACTTACATTGTATATTGTATTTTATGTTTGTTAGTTTCACTGGCATTTAATGGTGGAAACCTTGGTAACATTAGCAACGCTAACAAAATATAATATATAGAAAAAAATATCGAAACCAAACCATCCTTCTACTCTCTTTTATTTTCGTGTTAATTTTATTAAGTTTGTTGTTAGATTTTGTTATTAAAGTGTGTTATTCGAATCATTAACATAAGTATTCATTAAGAGCCACGATGGCCGAGGGGATAGAGCGTTCGCCTTCCAATGAGGTGAACCGGGTTCGAATCCCACAATAGCTGGTAGATGTGAATCCGCATCCGGCTTGCACCGACCACAGTGCTGACATGAAATATCCTCAGTAGTAGACGGATCATGGGTTAGAGTCCCTTTGCCGTCAGGCTAATCGTGGAAGGTTCTCGTGGTTTTCTTCTCCATATAACGCAAATGAGGGTAAGTTCCATCAAAAAGTCCTCCACGAAGCCAAATTTCTCCCAATACTTGATCCAGGAGTTCCCTTGTCTTCTGTATTGGGTTCAAAATTACAAGGCTACGGAGTTGAATATTAGTAGTTGTAAACCCAAAAATTGGGTCGGCTGTTCAACGACGGTTATGAAATATAAAATAAAAGTATTTATTAATCTTTATGCATCATAATCACTTCATAATTATACAAATTTATGTTGCATTAGGTATCAATTTAGATTAATACTATACAAATTTATGTTGCTCTATTGATCTCAAATATATATTTTGTTATTTGACTAGGATGAATACTGTATATGTTGTAAAATTAATTAATGATCAAGTTTATGTTTCGCTATTGATTAAGATTAAGATTATATAAATTTATGTTGCGCTATTGATTGGGATTATTCATATGCAAAATTATATTTCCCTTTTCATTAGAATACAATACAAATTTATGTTTCTTTATTAATTAAAATTTATAACACTTTTCAATTTATAACACTTTTCAACAGCGAATGGGGGTCGATCTGAATCGGAAGGGTCGATTGTGGGTCGGAAAAAAAAACAGTTCTCAATACGCAAATCACACATACCTAATTAAGTATGTAAAATTTGTGAATTTTTTTTATAATTGACTCAATATCAGTTTCTTTATAAAACATAAATTAATACACTTATATTTATTGGGGTGAAACAAGTATTTACGTACCACCGCGCAGTGGCACGAACTCAGCGCACTTTATAAGTCATATGCATATGTGCGCTTGTCCAAATGTCACGTGTGACGAGCATTGACGTTACAAATGCAAATATCATACGCAGTTTCAGCTATCTTTGCAAACTGTGTTGAATATTTGCAGTGTCATTATTAAAACTTTTATAGTTTTGGATAATTAGTTATTGTTTCGATAAAACCATTCGTTTGGTTTAGATATCAATTTTAATTATCAATGCACAAAAAAGAAGGTAAGCATTAATAATATGGATTAGTACAGCCCGCGACAAAACTATAGCACACTTTGTATTTTTTTACGAAAATTACAAAATTGACCAATTTTGACGAAAATTAAAATTGACCAATTTTGAACCCAATATAGCGAACCTTGCAAAAAAACACCAGGCACACCCATCTCATTGATCAAGAAGCAGTAAATCTTTAGTTACTTTACTTATTATATCTACTTATGCATAATTACTTATTATTTAATAATAAGGTATTTAAATTTCAATATTAATATATTTTTCATAAAACTATTGTTACACAATGTACTATTACTTTAATAAATGTTTAAAATCATAAAATAAATGTACAAACACAGTATCTAATAGAGTTTTATTTTAATTAACAGAAAATTACTTTTGTGGGGGTCGATGGACATTTCGAAAGATTATATAGGGGTCGATAATCAAAAAAGTTTGGCGACCCCTGGATTAGGGACTATTCTATTGATTGAGAATAATTCTTAAATACAAAGTTATTTTGATTAATTGATTAGATTTGATAAACTACAAATTTATTTTTCTTAATTTATTAAGCTACAAATTTAATAAGCCACAAATTTCTGTTACTCTGTTAATTGAGATTATAAATATACTATTGATTGGAATTGTTATTATACAAATCTGTGTTGCTCTATTAAATAAAATTTATAACACTTTTTAAATTTATGCTGCTTAATTGATTAGGGATTTATCAATTGGTTGAGAATAATTAAGTACAAATTTATTTTACTTAATTGATTAGATTTGATAAACTACAAATTTATTTTGTTTCATTTAGTAGATTTAATAAGTTACAAATTTTGTTGTTTATTGGAAGTAATAACACTATTATACTTCTGTACAGAAAGATGTTGCTTTATTGATTAGGATTTATATAATACAAAGTTATATCACTCTATTTATTGGGATTATCTATATACAAATTTATATCGCTCTATTGCTTGAAATCATTATTTTACGTATTCATGACGCTTTATTAATTCTGAGTAAGAAAAAACTATTCAAAGATACGTTGCTTTATTGATTATATTTAATACAGAGCAAATTTATGTTAATTTGATCGTTGAGATTACAAATAAACAAATTTATATTTCGCTGTTTATTAGGACTAATACAATTAAAAATTTAAGTTCCTTGAATTGGGATTAATGACATGCAAATTTTTGCTGCTAATTGACAATCAGACATAATGTAATTTTTATAAGTGGCAAAAATAAACAATCTGTTCATTAAGAAAAATATTTGTGTAGGCAATTTTAACAGATCAAACATTATGTGTAAACATTGTTTAAACAGTACACTTTAAACTATGTGTATTAAGAAAACAGCCACTTAAACCTCTTAAGTGTTCTTAAAACAAGAGTGTCAGAAACCTGAAAAAAAGTGTTGGTAAAATAACGGTAAAGGTTTCTCAACTTGCATTTCAGCAGTTCACAAAATAGTTGCTAAGAACATATCCGTATAGTATAATATACCCAACAACAGATACGGTCATTTGGCCAACAAAACATATGCCTGACACCGTTTTTCCCGACTACTCATTTGCTCGACAGGTACGTTTATCCATCTATTCAATTCTCCGACTTGTACATTTACCCAACTATTTATTTTCTCGACATACACATTTGCCCGGCAGGTATGTTTGCCCAACTACTCAATTTTCCGACATGTACATTAACCCAACAATTTATTTTCTCGATATGGACATTTGCCTGACAATTTACTATCCCAAGAGCTGGCTTGTAAGGGAAATGAATATAATTCTCTGTTGGTAACTGTTTGACCTTTCAAATAAGGCTGGGCTACTTATGGAAAGAAAGAGCAAGCGATATATAAAGACTTTCTGTAGTATAGTGCGGCTTTCAGGAGAACTCCTCCAGACTCCCGTCTCGCGTCGTGACGGGTACCATGGTTACGAGGAAAGGTCACTTCGAATAAGGATGTGGGGTGAGCAGTTTTGTCCTAATCTTAGCGTATGTCGTCGTGAGTAAACCAATCGACACCTTCTTTCCTCCATTTCATCCCCATTAAAAATGTGCTCTCGCTTGTTACCATAGCAGCAGATAGCCCAGACTTTCAGTCTGGAGGAGTTCTCCTCAAAGCCGCACTATACTAATTTAAGTTGTCAACCTTTCCTTTTGCTTCTGCGGGAATTGGGACATTACAGAATTATAGTTAATTCTGGATGGTATTAAAAAAAATTTTAATTCTTTTTTTATTATTTATTTGCTTTAGTTAATTCAGGGTAGTATTAAACGGGATTCTTTTTATTCTCTTATGTATTATTTTTTTATTGTTTTTTTTTTTCAGTTTTTATTCTTTTACTTTCTTTTTTATTCAGTTTTTTTTTATCCTTTTTTCTTTTGTCGGGCAAAAGAACCTGTCTGGAAAATGAGCAGTCGACAAACGTACCAATCGGGAAAATAAGCTATCGTCAAACGTGCCAATCGGGAAAATAAGCTATCGGCAAACGCACCAATCGGAAAAATAAGCTATCGGCAAACGTACCAATCGGGAAAATAAGCTGTTGGCAAACGTGCTAATCGGAAAAATGAGTTGTCGGGCAATATAACTGTCGGGCAACCGATAGTGGGGAACATGTACCTTACCTACTAACAGTACTAACGCTAATTTTATTTTCAGGAATTGTACAGCAAAAGCTACGAAGCAGTGGGTGTTCTATTTGCTGCTATGCCAAATTTCTCCGATTTCTATACTGAAGATTCTGTCAATAATCAAGGGTTGGAATGCTTAAGGTTCCTAAACGAAGTTATTTCTGATTATGATGCGGTAAGAATTTTTTTTGTATCAACTTCATTCTGTTAGTTATATGAAGAACAGAGTCAGTAACGTTTTAACAAAGTGCTTAAAGGTGTTCATTTTTTAATTACCCTTTTTAAAAGCCCTTAAAGGTGCTTTTTTTATTCGGGGTTTGTAAAAAATGCTTAATTTTCTATCTTTCAAAAGGAGATTTTTTTTCTTCGCCATCTCGATTGTCATCATAAATTACAAAAAAAAAAACGCATGATTTTCACAATTTTCTCTGCAATATTTATCAGAAACTAGTTATTTTATCATGATTATGTAAATGTTTTTGAATTTTATTGGTTTTATGTTTGTAAATTAAGAACTTTGAAAGACAGAAAAAAAAATTTTTATTGCTGCACAGATCGTAATTATAATTTTTTGGGGGGGAAGTGATTAAAAATATTTTTTGAGTGTTTAAAAAGTACTTAAAAGGTGCTTATTTTTTGTTTGAAAATCTGACTACGCTCCCTGAAGAGCATATTGAAAACCAATAACAAGACACAAATTGTACAAAGCATACGTAACATCGACAGCTCGTTTAATCGACAGATAATTTCATCGACTCATCGACATTCATACATCCTTACATTCATAACCTTTCAAATTTATTTTCAAGAGGCCATAAAGCTTTTTATTATTTAATTTTAGCCATTTTTCCATAAACTAAAAACGTTGACTTTGCAATATATTTTATTAAGTCGTAGAAATTACTGATTGAATGTATCCATGAAACAGACCAATTTTAGGTTTGTGATTGAAGATGGTGATTTTCTTTTGTCTAAAATTGGAGAAATAAAGATGTCGATGCCTGAAATATTTTGCCCTGATATGTTATTTCCCATTAAATTATGACTTTTAAATTTGGCTTCTCTGACATACACCATATTACTAGTGAATAAATAAAAAAATATTATCTATAAAAAAGATTTGATTTTATTAAGTAGTAGTTAAATATATTTAAATTTTTTGAATTTTAATATTTAAGAAAAAGTTTTGGAAGATATTAAAACATAATTTTTTAAATAAAGTGTGTCTTTTTTTAAAAAAATAAAAGTGGCAAAACACAAGTTTTATTATTTGAATTTATTTTTCATAAGATGATTCTGTCGACCGCAAAATTTTAAATCTGAAGTAGTAGGAAAAAACAAAGGGATAATAACTTGTTTTAAACAAATGCGTACCACCAGTAAGAAATAAAACGAATCTTCCTTATAACTATTAAACAGATGTTCATTCTGTAAAGTGTTAAGACAATATCTCAAAAAAAACTCTTCAATTAAATATAACAGTTAACTGTAAGCGCTGCTGAATATATTTATTTTGCAAGGGTAGCAACACTTTTTCTAAAGAAGCATACATTGCCGGGGGAAAAAATCCCGACACCAAAAAGGAGTTTTACTAGAAAAACTAAATTTGGTAGGCTTGTTTATACAACTAAAAGATGATGTCTATTCGAATTTCGCACTTAAAGCATAAGTTTGGCGCTAGTAGTGCCACTGTGAACATGAAATTAAAGTGGCTTCAAATACGTGTTCTGCAGTTCGTAAGCGTTATTTTTCGTTATATTTTGATATAGTGAGTTGCTGTTTGTCAAGAATGTCTTTCAGAAGACGAAGAAGCCATTACCAACAGCTCATTGACTTTGAACGTTGCCGTGTAATAGGGCTGCGAGAGGGTAGATTTTCTTTAGGCGATATTGCAAAAAAGACTGGGGAGAAATATAGCCACTATATATGACTGTTGGCAACTGTGGTCAAGGGAAGGTATTGCTTCAAGAAGACCGGGTTCAGGGCTGCCACGCGTCACTACTCAGAGGGAAGACGTGTATGGCGTATGGCTGTGGTGCACCGTACTGCGTCTACATCAGAAATTCGAGAATTCTCAATTCTTATAAAATGTCCCTTCTAGTCCTTTCTCAAAGTCTGATACCGCTGAAAGAAATCATCCAGTATATTCTGATCGGACTATATTTCAATTGATAACTTTTTTTTCTGATCTGACTGTATTTCCCTTGATAACTTTTTTTCTGATCTAACTGTATTTCACTTGATAACTTTTATTTCTGAAATGACTATGTTTCACTTGATAACTTTTATTTCTGAAATGACTATATTTCACTTGATAACATTTATTTCTGATCTGACTATATTTCACTTGATAACTTTTTTTCTGATCTAACTGTATTTCACTTGATAACTTTTATTTCTGAAATGACTATATTTCACTTGATAACATTTTTTTATGATCTGACTATATTTCACTTGATAACTTTTTTTATGATCTCACAATATTTCAATTGATAACTTTTATTACTGATCTGACTATATTTGATTTGATGACACTTTTTCTGTTCTAACTGTATTTCACTTGATAAAATTTTTTTCTGATCTGACTATATTTCTCTTGAAAACTTTTTTTTCTGATCTGACTATATTTGATTTGATAACTTTTTTTTTCTCTGATCTGACTGTATTTCCCTTGATAACTTTTTTTTAACGTTTAAAATTTTTACAGCTTTTAGAGCAACCCAGATTCAAAGATATCATTAAAATCAAGACTATCGGCTCTTCATACATGGCAGCAAGTGGTTTAACAGATGATAATTATAATGTAAGTAGGTCTTTCTTTAATTCAATACCTAAGACCAGAAAATTAAAATTTATCGGCTTCACATAATTGTCTTAGATTACGCTGGAGAACGATTTTCTTTCTCTTATGTATGAGATTTTTTAATGCTTAATTTTAATTTAGATATTCTCGCGTTACTGATATCAAATCTACAATCGGTTTCTCTCTACAAGTTCCAGTTTTTATGAAATTTAATATATTCCTAACCAGGATTTCATAAAATTCACTCGAGTGAATATTAAGTGTCCCCACTTCTCTGCTATTTTGGGAGTGGTAGGATGACGGCGATAATGCATTTCAGTTTATGATGAGATATATTAAGGTCACGTGTTCTTTCTCTTAAGTGTTTTTTTCAAAGGAGCCTATACGTTAGTGAAACCTATACGTTCTTTAGTTGCTTGAACGGTAAGACAAAAATAATCTAAACTAAAAATATCATTATGAAGAAACGGGAGCAAAACAGGACTAAACGTACAGGAAAACGAAAGATGCGGGAACAATGGATCGAGGTTCGACTATGAAGTAAACATCTATTTAATAGGGTAATATACTAACAGAGGTAATAAAGTATCGAGAAATAAGATTAACTATAGTAATACTAAAATGAGTAAAATAAAATCAAAATTAATGTATGTGCATTTACAGTAAGTATTTATAATAAATGTGTTACCCCTGACAGCACAGCTACCCAGTAATCCTGGTAAGTTACCACTCTAGCCAGATTGCTCGCTGCTCGGGATCTTACACTTTTGGTAGCATGCCCTGTTGAAACTTTGCAGGGTTGCTCCTTCCCAAGGTCTGTCACAACTAAACTACTAAAACAAAACTCAGTGGCGCGACACCCCATAGAGGGCCAAGGTCTACTGTGCCCATCTCAGTTTTCTTGACCTTGGGCTCTGGGATGCAGGAGCAGATGTTCTGGTTTGGTGGTCAGCCAAACGCGACCAAATGGGTCCAGTGTTTATCCGAAGCATGCTTGGTACTCATTTTATTGACTCACTGAAGGGATGAAAGGATGAGTCAACCTTGCCCGGCCGAGGATCAAACCCAGGACATGTGGCAAGGATGCGCGAAGCACTACCACTCAGCCACTGGGAGTCGGTCTGCCACAACAAGAGTGTTTAAACCGTGGATGTGCTTATAAGTGTTTAAAATGTGCTGCTGTTGTTTCTTATGACATCCTTGATCTTCGCATCAAGAATTACCATATCACTTTCTGTTTTTTTTCCCTTCTTTTTATTCAAGTGTATTAATGCATAACATTTTGTATTTTACAGCCCAATGCATCTATAAAAGAAAAATGGGCCCACTTAGCTGCTCTTACAGAATTTGCACTCACACTGAAAGAAACTCTGACTAACATCAACAAAGAAAGTTTCAATAATTTCTTACTAAGAATGGGTAAGTCTATCTTTATTTGCCCTTTCCGACAGAGTCTGGCAACAATAATTCAATAAATGTTACAAACCACTAAAAACGCAAAACTTATTGCCTTTAAATGTTTAGCAACCAGCACAGTCTTTAAACTACATTCCGAGACTACATCACATCTCTCTTACGTATGTTCCCGTCATGGGATATTTCGAGATGAATGGAAAAAGGGCCATTTAGGCCTCAAATGCCCAGTTCTACAAAAACGAACGAAAAGTCTTTATACTACAAAGAGCTAAAGTACACTGCTCAAACCAATTAAAGGACGTTGAGGTTGTGGGTTGATCTTGCACCTGGAGAATTGTTTGAATTATTGACACATTGTTGACAGACGTAGTATGCTATATGAGATAAAAATGACATTTGTTTGGCAGAAAAAAATGCGTTTTATTGAGCATTTGGATACAAAAGGGAAAATACACAAATAAGAAAAGGTGTTTCCTTAAAAGAAAATCGTTTTTAGTAGGTAGTATGGTTTCCCCGGACGGCCAACTATGTTGAACGCCTTTGAGGCATCAAGTCAATGAGGTCATTAATGAGGGCTTGAGTATTCTGTCCAGAAGAACTCTCTCCAGTTCTTGGAGAATTTGTGGGGGGTGGTAGGCGTCCAGCAATTCATCTGCCTAGAATGTCCCATACGTGTCCGATTGGATTCATATCCAGAACACGCTGGCCAATCCATTTGTATGATTCCTTCCTCCAAGAGGAAATCATTCACCAAGTTAGCTCGATGTTGCCTGCAATTGCCGTTCAATAACATGAAGTCATATCCAATTGCTGCAGCGTAAGGGGTGTCTCAGAATCTCATCCCTATATCGGTGACCGGTCAGAGCTCCATTTCGAATGATATGGAGATCGGCGAAATAGAGACGCCAGCATAGACGCCAGCATCACTCTCCCACTGCCAAACCTTACACATTCGTTAACGAACGCAGGATGGTTTCTAGTGCCACGCTCCCTCCAGATGAAGATACGCCTATTATCAGGATGAACAGAAAAACGGGACTCGTCAGAGAAAAGAATATTACATTTCTCCTCCAGTTCACATGCTCTGTTGCCCACTCCCTGTGAGCGCGAAGGGGCTTTGCTGTTAACGCGACGCACACCATTGGTCAGCGAGCATACAGATCTACAGCGTGAAGGCGGTTTCGGACAGTTTGTGTCGAAACTGTGGTGCCAGTAGCCAAGCAAAAGTGTTGTTGAAGAAGAGTGGCATTCATATTTCGGTGTCTCCCAGCCGTTAGCGTTAAATAACGATCTTCATTGGGTGTTGTTACGTGTCTTGTCCTGATCTTCGGCCTGCATTTTCTGTCCCCAAAAAACTGTTCCAGATCCTGGAAATTACACTTTGTGAAACTCCAATGGCTTTTGCTACTTTGGCTTGTGTTTGGCACCCCTCTAACCAACCAACAACTCACCAAACTTCTGATTCGATTAAATGACTTTGCTGAGACATCGCACTCATCGAAACAACACGCTTACTGAATGTCGATCATTTTTTCCGCTTTGTCGTACATTAAGTTGATAATCGAATCAAATTCGCTGCCGCTAAAGGGTCGTCTTCGACGTCTAACTCAAAATTTGCATACTGCGATTCCCTTCTTTCATCTCATGCAGGTCCCGCAGTGGACTGATCGTTAAGACACGGTTCCCAGCAGATCACCGAAAGTCAAGCATCACTGCCTGCAGTCAGTGTGCAGGTGGGTGACCACTTGGATCAGTCTGCGTAGGGACCGAGGGTGTGCGGTATTGGTCCTCGTTAAACTGTTCTACCGTAAAGTGTTCGATTTCGCTTGCATGTCGTCGGGTTACCGAAGCGGGGGTGACATCCCCTCTGCAGAGGATCAAAATTGTGATGACATGTCTTCAGATCATCCTCAGGGATGTTTCCCAGACCGTCGCCAATATAGCAGCTCTAGTGCGACGTAAATGAACTACTACGACTACTATAACCATTTTATGCAGACAAAATAATTGCTTATACCATTATTTTATACTAGACTTACAATATCCTTTCATTGTTCTGAGCAGTGTATCATACCTTCACTTACCAGAAAATATCTCATGATTTTGCAAGTCAATTCTTATATCTTTTATTTCCTTTTTGCCTTCTTTTAAATAATTCATCATTAAAACAACTTCAAGATAAAGTAACATATGATGAAAAGGTAAAATGTCCTTATGAGGCCTAAATGCCACGAACAATCATATGACTATGATAAACTGTCTATCGTCCTTGTTAATGTGCTGCCTGACTAAAATTTTCAATCGAAATTCGCTGTTACGAAAAGGGTTAAAACATTTTTTTAAATCAAAAAAACTATTTTAACGCATATTTTTTTGTTTTTGGTTTTAAGAAATATTTTCTTCTTTGTTCCCATTTAAAAACGAAACTTTTAAAAATTTTATATAAGTTTATTATTTTCTTCCATTTAATCTTGTTTATGTTAATTTGCCTCGCTAATTACCACGCTAAGAGGTCAAATTTTCGATTGGCCATGAAATATTGGCAAGTTTCATTGTAACAATTAAAAAATAATTGTAACTTGTATTGTCATTAATATTGACAACTTTTTGGGGTTGGGAATTAATGAGTTTGCATCATTTCATATCAATAGTATTAAATTTATAAATATATTTTAGTTGACGTAAAAATGTTGTAAAACCAAGATCAATAGTAACAACGAAGTCAAATTACTGCCACTATTTACCATTTTCCAAATAAAACTTTGCACTGATATGACTCCGCTGGTGGAGAAGTTGTCAAAATTACTTATATTTGAAGAGCTCAGTGGAAGAACCAGGTAAGTGACATTTTCAGAGGAGCTGTAATAAAAGTAAAAGGGAAAAAAAGTCCTATTTTATTATAGATTTATTAGAAGGCGGGGATAATTGTCTTATTTTATTTACCACGGCCCAATTAGAAATAAAATCATGCAAGCATACTCAAAACTAATATGGATTATGTTAAGATTAAAGTAAAAACAAACACAATTCTGTTACATTAAACATATTCATATTGATACAACCACTTCACACTGTTTTCTCTGATTCATAAATACCCTGAAAAATGTCACTTACCTGGTTCTTCCACTGAGCTCTTCATTTATCTTAAAAATTTAATTTTAATATTTTCGTTTTAATTTTATTTATCATTATTTAGTTAGATCATAAGTTTTAAAAATCATGCGTCTAATGTTAAATACTTATTTAATATAATTTATAGATAGGATGTATGCATTAATAAAATATTTAAATTAATATTAAAGCATATGAAAATTCCATTATTTTATGAAAATGCTTTGGGCTGACGTTTAAATTAATAATCTTAAAAGCTTCGAATATTTCGCCAGTATCAGTGCTTTATCACTCTCGTTTAATAACTTTCTGAAAGTGATCCTAAAACTCGATTTAGAGCAACTCCAAAGTTAATTGTTTCTCATAAACATATTAAGCTATTGAAACCTAAAATTTATTACACTCATTGACTGAGTTCATCAAATATGTTTAGTATATTTAAGCTATATTTTATTTAGTATTAATTATATTTAGTATATTTAGTATATTAACTTGTAAATTATATTCTTAGCTCTTTTTCTTAATTTTTTATAGAACATAAACTAATAAGAATAAATAGATTTTTTTTGTCACTATTTCTCTTTAATTTTAAAATAAAATGAAATATTACATTAAAAACAAAATTTATAAAGTATTGTTTGGTAAGAATTTTTTTTTTCCAATTCCGCATTATGAATGGTGTTTTTCATTTGTAAACTCCGATGAAAATTGATACATTTATGCATTATTGAAAAATTAAAAATTTTATTGTCGGAAGAAATAAACACTCTAAATATACTATACGAAAAACTAATTCTATAAGATATACTAAAACTATAAGAATAATAATACAATTTCTATAAGAATGATAATACTATTATTATATGATTTTCAGTACAGTAATAGTATTATCATTCTTATAATAATAGTATTATGAATGATAATACTATTAGAAAAGAAAATTTAATATAATAATACTGTAAGATAAAAAACACTTTATTATCAAAAAGTGATGGCAATGCTTTCTACCATAGTTAGAAATTAAAGAAGAAAATTGTCAGGAAATTAGCCCACTGTCAGAAAATTAACCCATTAGGCACCAACGTTTCCATTGTATGATCATGTCAGAGCGTTTGGTCTCAGTAGGAAAATTAACCTATTAGTTACATAATGTTAACATAATGGAAACATGTCAAAGCTTTTGACCACTATAAAAATGTTAACCTTTTGAGCAAAAATGTTTCCATTATCGGATGCAATGCTTTCACTGTTAAATCATGCCAGAATGTTTTGTCAATAAAGGAAAATTAACTCATAGGTCACCAAAGTTTCCATTGTGGGATCATGTCAGAGCATTTAGTCACTGTTGGAAAATTAATCCATTAGGCAACAATATTTACATTGTGGAATCATGTCAGAGCGTTTGGCCATTATAAAAAAAAATTAGCCCATTGAGCAAATATATTTCGATTGTGGGATACAATGTTACCATTTTAGGATGCAATGTTTCTATTGTGAAATCATCTCTGAGAGTTTGGTCTTTACCATTGGGCACTAAGTTTCCATTGTAGTCAGAGCATTCAGTCACAATCGAAAAATTAAGTCATTTGGTACCTTTGTTACCAGTTGGAGATCGTATCAGAGCATTTAGTCACTAAAATTAACCCATTATGCAACAATGTTCCTATTGAGGGAACATTTGAACACTATCTGGAAATTAACATATTAGACGCTAATATTTCCATTATAAGAGCACATCTGAACATTTGTACTCTGTCGGAAAAATAATCTATTAGAAGCTCCCATTGTGGGAACATTATTGAATATTAGTACATTTTCAGAAAATTAACCCATTTGGTATCATGTCAGAACGTTTGAACACTATCAGTAAATTAACCCAATGGCAACAATATTTCCATTGTTCGAATATGTTGGAACATTAGAAACAATCGTAAAATTAACTGATTAGGAACGAATGCTCTCATTTTAGAAAGATACCCTTATTGCATAAAGATTAATTTTTTCAATTATTTTATGTTTAGCTTTTACAAACAATACAGTGGTGTTCATCATATTAATTATTGTTTAAATACTTTAATTTCACGATGGAAAAGTGTAACTGGGATCGTTTGAAGTTTTAGCTAGAATTTAAAAAAAAAATACTTAAAATGCAGGAGCCAGAACACGGTGTGATAATTAACCAATAAGGTAAAAATGTGAATTTGTCTTACACTTTTTACACTGCTTAAGATTCATGCACTTCTGATCACCATCGAGAGAACCTGATTGGTGAGTTTTATTTTTACGATTTTACTAGAGCATATATTTCACCAATCAGGCTCGCATTCTCTCTCGACGCTGATTGGAAATGCGTTATGCAACCCGAATGTACAGTGGGCCAAAAAAAAACTAACCACTCTGAATAACTTTCGATCTAACGATCGGATCTTCACGTTCTAGAACTCCATCTTAATGGCTTGAGAAAGTGACCTCAAATATGCTAATTAATAAGTGCAGACGATATTTTAAGTAACGAAATCAGACACAAAAATTTACTTTTTCTGAATATATATATCTTTTTTTTTCGACGAATTCGGATTTTTGGCACCCAAAATATAAGGTGCAGCCGCAACCTGGGAAATATGGTCCCAATACTTTGTTCAGGAGAGAGCTCCAATGCTTGGACCCTTTAATGTTAATTTTACTTTTCGCTTATTCCGCTATATGTCTGGAACTTTTTAAGCGAATTGAAAAATTTTTACATGCAATTATAAAATTTGTTTATCCAAAGAAAATTCCATGCAAAAAATAACGTTTAATAAATATTTATTATTTTATATAGGAATGATCTAAAAAAATTTTTAATTGTAAGGTGTACAATTTTTACCCTGTTTTAAGGAATGAAATTTAACTTGACAAAATACAAAATTTGAGCGAAATCGGTCAAATAGTTTCTGAGAAATCAAATTTTAAATATACGACTTTTTTTTTAATTCAATTTCTTAGGAACTATACCTCAAATATTTTTATTTTGCCAAGTAAAATTACATTCTTTAAAATCCCTCCAAACGGCATCAAAATGTTCGCTGATGGCAGTAAAATGGATAGACAGACTGGCAGTGGAGTATTTATTGAAACACCTCGAGAGAACTACACTCTTCATCAACGAAACCCCGATTTGTGCTCCGTCTTTCGAAGCGAACTAATTGCGATCGACAGGGGACTAGAGAAAATCTTGAGTGAAGGGCACCTTGGAAATACTTGGATACTATCTGACAGCCGTAGTTCAATTCAACACCTCAAAAATTGGGCCCTCATTGGAGATAAAACCAGTTTTTCGATCTTACAAAAAGTAAAGCTCATTTCAAGTCCTCGACGAAGGACA